GTTACTTCATACATACTTTGCAGAATATCCTGGTTGTGTGTCTCTCCAGTGTAACATAAGCCCCCTGCAAGCTGGAACTTGATTTTTCTTTCTGTCCTATTCAGTGCTTGTAAATGTGCCTGGCTCTTAGACACTCAATAAACATTTATTTAAAAAATTGAATCCATTGAGACTGGGAATGTGGCTTGGTGGTAGAATGCTTGCCTAGCATGCATGAAGCCCTGCGTTCAATTCCTCGGTACCACATAAACAGAAAAAGCCAGAAGTGGCACTGTGGCTCAAGTGGTAGAGTGCTAGCCTTGGGCAAAAGAAGCTCAGGAACAGTGCCCAGGCCCTGAGTTCAAGCCCCAGGATTGGCAAAAAGAAAAAAGAAAAGACCATTCCTGGGCATCTTGGTAGGAGGAGAATAAAACAGAGGGCACCCCAGCGTTCTACATCCCTAGTGATAACATTCATGCTAGTTATTTCACTAGCTCTGAGGGTATTACTGACTTGGTGTTTGTTTTGACAGCTCCAGGAAGACACAAGAGGCAGGGACAATCCTTGAGAAGTGTACAGCAAAGGACGAGTTTCTTTGGAATGGCAGAGACAGTTTCATTGAAGCAAATAGCTATTAAGCAAGACTTGTCATTAGGATAAAGTGATGGGTAGTGAAAAGGAGGGTGGCTTTTGTGTCAGGCACACAGAATGGCTGGGGAAATGTGGAGGCTGGGTACTTACTGAACAGCAGTGCTAGGGAGCTGTTGTCCTCATCCACAGCTTTTTGCCTTCAAGGTTGCAGCAGGATTTTAGGAGTGTGGGCATCTTGGGCCTTGGTGCAGAGTTCAAGCCCCAGGATCAACCAAAAAAAAAAAATGTTGTGTTTTGTTGTTTGTTTTTCATCTAGAGTCTTTTACTAGTTTAGGACTAGGGCTGTAGTGCAGTGCTAGAGCAAATGCTTGCCATGCGTAAGGCCCTAGCTCTCATCAGCGGCAAGTAGCATCTTAACTTAGATTACAGTGTTTGCTTACCTTCCCTCAGGGTGTCTCAGTTCTTCCAGGACTAACAGAAAGTTAAAGTAGCAGGTCACACCTTTGTCTACTGTAGAGGCTAGTTCTGGTTGCTCATATTAAAGGTGGCCCGTGGGTGATGCTCCCACATTATGTATTCCATGTATTCCAGTACCCACAGCGGGGAGGCATGGAGAGTACACTGGGGCTAGTGCATGAGGTGGCTTGAGCTGGCAGCCTCAGATTCCAGTCTGGGAGTCCCCAAGGGCTGTGAGGGGTTTGAAGGAACCCTGAACTCCATAAATACCTGGACACTGAGCCCACCTAGAGACCGTGAATTTCCCAGCAGGTGACTTCATTGGATGAAGTTCTGGAGGGAAGCATGTTACCTCTGATTGTAAGGATGAACAATTATGCTTTCCCTTCAAGCTTTCAAGCATCAGATGATCACTGGGCCTCACCTTTGTCACCTGCTGTCTGCCATTCGGATGCTGAATGAGAAGTTTGATTGCTGAAGTAATGTTGTAAAATACTGTAGACATGAATGAGTATTTGTATCAGCTTAATCCTAGCTAGGTATTAGAACATCTAGTGGGCAGAGGTTGAACTTCTAAAGGTCTCTAGTAATTTCTGTGTAATTGATCAGGAATGCTGCCGGGGTAGTCGTTTTGGTGTTTGTTGTTTGGATTTTGTTTTGGGAAACAGTCTCGAACTTAGAGTTGAAATCTGTATGGTTTTGAAAAGCCTTTTGTTCCTGAGTTATTTGAGAATAGGCTGCTGACCCTCTGTCCTGGTGCTTACAACTCTTTCACCAAAACTGTAACATAATTAAAACAAAGGAGAACTTTCTCCTGTATCCTGCACTATAACCTTGAAAAGCAAAGGTCAACATGAGTGGCATACTACTGTTGACTCTTCAGCCCTGATCAGGGAGGCACTAGCCTTCTTGCAAATGGACCACATGTGCATTTGGTTATGAGTCTTAGTCCCAAACAGTTCCTCTATTCTCCTTGACTCTCGAGGCTTTGAAATGTCTGAACATCGTGAGACATTCATTTTATAGGATCCCTCTCTGGAGTTGTCCGATGGTATTTGGGTTGTACATATCTAAAAGGACCATCACAGAGATGGTGCCAGGTTCTCAGCCTCCTTATAAGGACCTCTCCATTTCAGTGTTCACACTACTGATGGTGCTTATTTCGCATAGATTAACTTGATTAAGATGGTGTCCACCAGGCTTCTCTTGTCTTAATTACTCTTTTCCCCCTTTTAGTTTAATTAACATTTTATAGGGAGGTGCCTTGAACGTATGTGAATATCCCATTCCTGTCATATAATTTGTTTACATATGGATGTTTGTTTTCCTAACTTATATAATGTTTGGTTTGTATTTTGGTTTTTCTTAGTGGTACTGAAGTTTGACTTCAGGATCTCACACTCTGCTCTACCACTTGAGCCTCACTCACAATCCTCATCATGTGATATTTGTGTTGTCCCAGATAAGCTCATAGAAACCCCCTTCAAACTATCTTCTGTGACTATTTGAACTTCCATTATTCTTGAATACTTTGTCACAAACATGCGTTCTAGTCTTGAGTTTTTCTAGCCTAAGCCTCAAAATTAGATTTTTGTTCCAAAGGAATCTGGTTCTTTTAGTGAAAAATGGTACTTTAGAATAGTCATAAATCTAGGTGTTAAATTGGTGTATATTATTTGGATGCTGCTTGTTTTGCCCTCACAGCTTCAAAACTGGAGAATAACTACATTAGTATATTATGTGTTTATGTCTGTATGTGCATGAAGGGCTTTATATAGACATTCACTTATATTCACAGGCAAACAAAGTTGACTATATTCATTGTTTTGTTGAAAACAATGGATTCATGGTAACCAATATTGGTCCAACTCTACATGGTTCATTTGAATTTTCTCTATTTCCATTTTTAAAACACTCCTTTTCAATTCTAAGGCACCTGGCTGCTATCGTCCTTAATATGCATAGCTATTGGTCAGTGGCCCTGTATGCAGCCCCTCTCCCATCGCTACCTGTGTGGCTGGTGTGGCCCTTGGGCTCACTCAGCCCCTGTAGACCTCTGCAGATGGTGGTGTTGTATGGCTTAGATAGAGCACAGCTAACTAAATTAGAGAAAGGTGAATCCCATACCGTTTGATTATGTAAGTCAATGGCAATTAAAAAATATTTAAAAGGTGATGGACAGAGGGCAATAGCAAATTTTTAAGTCAGGGTTAGCAAAGTAAATTCTCCCTAAGGGAATGAAATTTAAGGAGAATACTAAATTCTACCAAGATGCAGTTTAAAAAAAGGAGTGAAAGCAAAGCTTGTCTCCTGGAAAGCTTTGAAAAATATTTGCTTTGGAAATAAATCTACTTCTAGTGAGCATAAATTTCAATCCCTTTCCCCGAATTGCCTGTTTATAGGGAAAATATTTGAAAGGGGTAGTTGTTCTGTAAGAATGTGTCTCATTAAAGATTTGTTGCTATTTTTAACAGGGAATTTAAAAAATAAATGTAATTTTAGAGTGACAACATTTTTAAAGCACTATTTAGATGAAGATGCTCAGACTGTGGCCGCAACTTTTCTGCAATCAGTTTAACTGGAGAATGTCAGAGCCAAATTATGGTGAGGAGGAGCCTCATCTTCTTCCATTTGCAGCCAGCGGAAGTTCGGGGTTCTTAGAGCCAACTATAACAGAACCTGCGGCCAGCTTCCCAAGATGGCCAGCCTCCATCCGGCCCACTTTCCTGAAACTGTTTTCTTAGAGTAGCACACAGTTGCAAGTGGGTTTTCTCCAAGAGCCCCACACTTAGGCTGACACACACAAAATGCCAATCCAGAGGGAGCCAGCGCTGGACTGAGGAGTTGACTGTATTTTTAGAATTTTCATGGAAGTTACTTTTATGCTTTGAATTTTGCATATAAGACTTAGACACTCAGAAATGCAGAAAGAAATAAAAACTAATGTTTGTAAATGGATATAGTCAGTAACAGCATGTAGGTAAAATAATTTTTTAAAAAGTCTGAGTTTCTGGGCTGGGAATGTGGCTTAACATGCATGAAGAAGCCCTGAGTTCGATTCCTCAGTACCACATAAAGCGAAAAAGCCAGAAGTGGCACTGTAGCTCAAGTGGTAGAATGCTAGCCTTCAGCAAAAAGAAGCTCAGGGACAGTGCCCAGGCCCTGAGTTCAAGCCTCAGGACTGGCACACCCTCCTCCTGTACCCCCCACCAAAAAAATTCTGAGTTTTTGTAACTTCAACATTGATTAACGTATTCATGAGAACCCACTTCAGTTTTCTTTGGCATAGATGAGCCTGTTCAATTCTACTTTTAGACTTAAGACCTTCAGGAACCACTTACGTGCCATTTTCAAACCTTGTATTTCCTTAACATTTTCCTTTCATTTGATTCACTTTTAACTTGGATATATCATAGGTGATACAATATTTTAATTGACATGATGCATCATATTTGTGGCTTTGATGCATTGGGTCACTTAAAATCCTAAGTACCATGGAAGTGTCTGCTCCAGGCTGTAGAAACTGGGAACTCAGTCTCTATTATGGTTCTACTTCTAAAATTCAGTGAGCTCCCAGTCTGGGCTTTTTTTACCTTAAAAAAAAAAAACACCCTATTTGAAAGCCAGGTGCCAGTGGTTCACACTTGTAATCCTAGCTACTCAGGAGGCTAAGATCTGAGGGTTGATGTTTGAAGCCAGCCTGGACAGAAAACTCTATGAGACTCTTAAGTCTCTAACTACCAAAAGCCAGAAGTAGAGCTGTGGTTCAAGTGGTAGGGCTGGCATACACCCAAAAAAGTATACACTTTTTATAAATGGGGTGGTAAACCAGGTTGTGGGGATACCTCAGTGTGAGTCTATGTATCCTTTAGGTTTAGGTAAAATACAGTATTCTGTGTAGACACCTAGATGAGCTTTGTACAGAAATGCACTGTGAGTATAATGTGTAACCTGGTATGATATTGTTTTAACAGAGAGAAGGAGCAAGAAAGGGAAGAACAGTTAATGGAAGACAAGAAAAGGAAGAAAGAGGATAAGAAGAAAAAGGAAGCCACTCAGAAGGTTGGTTTCATCAGTCTGTCTTGGCTTGGATATCTGACATCTTAATAAAGTTAGAGACTGTAGTCCATTGAAAAACTTAAAAACTTGGTGGTCCCTGGTGGCTTATACTTGTAATCCTAGCTACTCCAGTCAAGGCAGGACAGTCCGTGAGACTATCTCCAATTAACTCTGGGGGGGTGGGGGAAGCCGGAAGAGGAGCTGTGGCTCAAGTGGTAGTGCATACTGAGCAAAAAAGCTCTAGTGCATACTGAGCAAAAAAGCTCAAGGACAGAGCCCAGGCCTGAGTTCAAGCTCCAGGACCAGCAAAAAAAATGTTTAAAAATTTGAAAGTAGCCAGAAAAGTTAGAATGAACTTGTAACTTTAAATGAGCATCATTATTCCACAATACTGTGAAATTCGGGAAATTAGGTAATCACTTAATCACAATCAAAAAAAAAAGAACCTCAGGGAAGGGAGGGAGGGAGGGGATGGTAGGGGGAAAACAATGGAGGGGGTAACAATGTTCAATAGGAAGTGTACTCATTACCTCACTCATGTAACTGTAACCCTCTGTATAGTATTTTTACAATAAAAAAAATTTGAAAGTGGGAAAAAGTTCATGGTTTACACTAATTACTTGTGATCATAAAGTGGATGCTGGCTAATGCCATAGCAATTCTATGGAAACAGCAATAAGCAGTATTGAGAAAGGCAAAAGATTATCAAGGCCTCAGCTTGTGCTGTATGTCTGCATTTGCATCATGGTTTATAGTCTCTGTTTTGCTTTTAGAGATGAGTGTGCTTTTCAACAATTCCATCCAGAAACTACTCTCAAAACAGTGGACTTTCATGATGCTCTAGGAGCATAGAACTTTGTATGGCTTTGAGGAATAAGAGAGAAGCTAAAAGGACGAAATAGGGCTGATAGCTCTGTCGGGTCTAAGTTGAAGGGCTTGTGGAAGGAGCTGCTAGAAGCACTGAGTAGCTGCACCACTCTTGCCCAGCCCTTTTGTTTGCCTGCTTTGCTGCCTCCCATCACAATTCCCACCCCCCCCCCCGTCCCCCCCAAGTCTTGGAGCTTGAACCCAGGGCCAGAGCCTGGGCACTGTCCCTGAGCTTCTTTTGCCCAAGGCTGGGACTCTACCACTTGAGCCACAGCACCACTTCTGGCCTTTTCTGTTTATGCCAGCCTCACAATTCTTTATGAGAGCCTGCAGTACTGTTTTGAGCAACAGGAGGATTTGTTGGTCCATCAGTTTTTGTGACTTTAGAAACAGGGCTTCACTTCAGGGCAGGTTTGAGAGTTCATGCTAAGGAAGCTAACTTAGGGAGGTATAAAGTGTTCTGCGGCTTGGGGGACGGGGGGACTTTTGATGTAGAACAGGGTCAAGGAGATGGACATGAGCCAATGTAAGGCAGAAGGGGCACTGGAGATTCTCCCAGCATTGTAAGCCACAGCTCATAATTTCAGCTTTAAAAGTATTGAAAAAGATCCGTTATGAGAACTAGCATAAGGAAAATCTTAGAAATATTTTCTGAATTGGGTCGTAAGTATATGAGATATAATTTATCTCTTCTCTGACTTATTTAGAAGATACATTCATGATTACTTGGTGCTATCATATACTGTACTATGCTCGTTAAGGTTTGCCTGTTTGCAGTTGTGGTTCTCTTTCTGTTAATAGCAGTGTTTCTCCTTCATATCTTCATGCTGTCGGCATGCCTGCTAACTTTGTGCTGCTTCTCACTTGAGTTTTTTAGCATCATCGCAAAGCCAGATTACAACCCAGAGGCTTTTTGTACTTCATTTTTGGTCTCCAGCCACATTCCCTGCCATTGAAGTTGCACTGTGCAGAGCTGCCAGACACAGGATGGCAGTGCTGGGTGCCTCTAGACTCTTCCCTATCGCTTGCTGTCAGTTCAGCCTCAACTGGAGTGCTGTGAGATCAGACCTCAAGAAAATCCTTCTTTGCTTCAGGACACTCACATATCTCATTGACTGAATTGGTTGGTCCAAAAACCAAATTTTTCAGTCTATGAAAAATGGGCAGTTACTAGGCTGGTCTCCATAGGCCTTGAGCAGAGGCTGTTGAAAGATGCCAAGTAAGGGATTATTGCAGTGTCTGTGCCAGCTTAATTTGTAACTCAGTGTTTTCTTACATTGAACATATGAGTGTCTAGAAATGACTACTAAAATATGCATCTGTAAACTGTGCATCCTATTAGTGAATTCCACTAATAGGAAAATGATTTAAAACAAAGGAGAGAGCACTTAATTGGAGAGTGAAGTGTGATTGCTGGACGGCCCCCTGTGTTTGAATCTACACTGAACACTGATGAGGGTGACAGCAGAAGATAGTCACTCGAAAATTTGAAAGTGGTTGTGACCAATAAAAATTCAGTTCTTTGGGGTTGGGAAGATGGCTCAGTGGTAGAGCGCTTGCCTTGCATGCCTGAGGCCCTGGGTTCGATTCCTCAGCACCACATAAGCAAAAATGAAAAAAGCCAGAAGTGGCACTGTGGCTCAAGTGGTAGAGCGCTAGCCTTGAGCTGAAGAGCTGAGGGACAGCGCCCAGGCCCAGAGTTCAGGCCCCACGACCGGACCCAAAAAAAAAAAAAAAATTCAGTTCTTTTTGTTCAAAAATGTTGTAGCTCAGATAGACACCCTCTAGGCTGACACATATGGCTTTTGATTTAGTTATACTGAATTGTTGCATAATTACAGAATTAAATTCCAATTTAGCAGTTTTAAGGACAAAACACAAAGCTTACTATGGGATTGCCGAAGTGATTTTCAACCTCACTGTAGAGATAAATAGGTAATATAAAATGTGCTATGGTAGAAAGAATTATAGGGAATGTGCAAGACTTCTATTATGTGGCCATTCATTCAGTTGATGAACATGTGTGGTATACATCTTAACGCTTTCAGGTCTCTCATGTCGCTTTTCCTATTGCTCGGTAACTGTCTCTTTGTGTCTCTTTCATTTCAGACCAGCTGTGAGTTTCTTTAAGTTTTATGCATATTTGTATTGATAGTTAACTAGGGTAGTGACTGGTACCCAGTAGTTACTTTAAAAAAAAAAAAAGTTTATGTCATTGAACATGCTAGAGCCCTTGCCTAGAATGCTCCAGGCCGTGGCTCTGATACCCAGCACTGAAATGTGTATGTGTGTGTTGGAGGAGGGGGCAGCGGTGACTGATAGTAACAGAATCTTCCTAACGCATCGACTTTGATTTAAAACTGAAATTTGTTATTTCCACCCAGAAATTAAACACGAACTTTTCAGTTTGCTCTTTCCAGAGCCGTCCTGAGGAAACACTGTTAGATTTCCACTCATGAGAGAGGTATCAGAGAAGGACTGCATTCACACATTAGGCTGATGCCAGGAAAACAGCATTGTGTGGTGTTGGCAGAACACATGCTTTGCCCATCCAGCTTTTTACTCTCTGGTGATTGCTCTTTTAACAGAACTCACATTATAAGATATAATCGACATTATTTGAGTTTGTTGCTTACAGCTGAGAAAGGGATTTCTATACAGCTGATCTTCAAAATGGCATTCTAAGAAATATTTACAGTGGTATAAAACCAAAATTGCCTTAAGAAATTGATATGTGGATGTAATCTAATCATTCTCAGATAAATGGGGATTATAGAAAAATTACAAGGGATTTCAGGAGAATTGAGCTCTGTAGCAGTTCTGGGAAGCAGGTTCGTTTAAAAGCTACCTTGTTCCACAAATTCAGTACTACGGAATTAGCTTGTCTGTAATGCAAGAATGTAAAGATGCATTGTAGGAGGTCCTCAGAGTAGACAGCTTAGCTCAGATTGAGCCTGATAGAGGTCAGCTAGTTAGTTCCAGGTCATATTCTCCAAAAATAGCTATGTCTTCGTAGCAGGAACTAGCCACAAATATTCAAGACCTCTTCTTTGCAAGATGATTAACATTCATTTTCTAATAGCTTTTATTGGTCATATGACCAATATAAACATGCTTGAGAAGATTAACAGTTGGGGAAAAGTGGGTCAGAATCACCCGTGATCTTACTAACCTCATGTGATCACGGCTGGAACTGATGGATGTTTTCCTTGTGTGTGACTTCTTGTAGTTTTGTTGGTCTTACAGGACATATATAATTAGGTTCCCTCTTTGTTTTCCCCTCTTAACAATACTGGAAGCAGTTGCCTGTGTGGCTTCTAATCATCATTTTCAAGCTTTATAAAAATCTATTATTATATCTAGCCTTTTAGGTTAATCACTTTATTTATAGCTGTCTTAGTTACTATTCAAAGAAATATTTTTTAACAAAGCACTCTATATTTGTTCACATTTTACATATTTCAATTGTAATGCTATACTTCATGCTCCTTTATATAAATTCTGAATACAACAGCAAACAATTACTGAGCATTGCCATAGAATGTCTGATTAATCCTTACAACAAATAAGTGGAAAACTGAATTCAAACTGAGTTAAGAAGTGGCATGACTTGGGTTTAAATCCTCTTTTGCTACTGTGATCTCTGATGCTTCCCATAGTGGGCTCCTAAAATTTTGCTTTTTAGATTTGAGTACATACTAACAAGGGAATCTTTTTGTCTCTGGGAAATTTAGTTGGAGCAACCAAAATAATGAACATCATTCCAGCATGTGGATCATGTCATTTAACCAGGGAAGTGCTTTTTAAAAAGAAAACAAAAAACTCAGCCAGATGTTGATGGCTCATGTATATAATCCTAGCTACTCAGGAGGCTAAGATTTGAAGAGCATGGTTCAAAACCAGCTGGGGCAGGAAAGTTTGTGAGACTCCTACCTTCACTGAGACTCCTTCCTCCACTAAACTACCAAAAGAGCCAGAAGTGGGCTGGGAAGGGGACTCAGTGGTAGAGTGCTTGCCTCACCTGCATGAGGCTCTGGGTTCCATTCCCCAGCACTACTTAAACAAAAAGCCGGAAGTGATGCTTAAGTGGTAGAATGCTAGCCTTGAACTGAAGAACTGAGGGACAGTGCCCAGGCCCAGAGTTCAAGTCCCATGACTGACAAAAGAAAAAAAAAACCAGAAGTGAAACTGTGGTTCAAGTGATAGAGCGCTAGCCTTGAACAAAAAGAAAGTCAAGGACCTCCAGCCCGAGTTCAAGCCCCAGGACTGGTGCGCGTGCACGCACGTGCGCGCACACACAAATACACACACACACACACACACACACACACACACACACACACACGGAAAAGAAATATTACACTTTTACAATCCTTCCAAATAGTGATCATGTAAGCTGTAGCTGGACATATAGCCATAATCTCTGGGATGTCTGAATTAACTCCCACTTTTCCCCCTGCCTTTTTACTAATCCTTTGTATGTTTTGTCCGATAGCTTACATTACTTGTTATCAAAATTAGTTCTATATTATTTAATTAGAAGGCAAATTTCATTTATTTATGTCTTGTTTATTTTGCAGGTCACGGAACAAAAAACCAAAGGTAAGAGTTTTTTTGTTTTTCCTTTTAAGCTCAGTGCTGAGCTGTCACTCAGGGTTGGTGACTCAGCCTCCAGCCCACTGAAAAGAGTGGTGTAGAGTCATTAAGGTGGTTGTTAGCAATCACTGAAGAGCGATAATGACAATAAAAAGTACTTGTTAGTAGTGTTGCTAGTTGGTCTTAAATTTTTCAGGAAGCAGAAATGTACTTTGTTTTAAACGTGAGTCATGATTTTGAACTGAAACTTCAAAACATTTCATAGTTCAATAACACAAAACACCAGCTCCTACTTTGAGATGGACACTGCAGAATTTGGTTTACCATCCAATCCATGGCATGCATTGTCTAAACGGAATGTGCCGTTTAGGATGTTCACACAATCTTCTGAGTTAGAGCTAGTAGAGGTTTTTAGATAACACATCAAAGATAGTGTATTTTGGATAGATTAGTGCAGAACACACTCAGGTTGAGTTTTGTTTTAATTCTTCCTCTCTCATTTAATCTGATGGTCACACTTTTGCTTAGTATCCAAAAGAATGAGAGCACTAGGGAGGCTGAGGTGTTAGAATGCCAACCTTGAGTGAACAAGCTAAGCAGGAGCCTGAGTTCCAGCCCCAGTAGCAGTTGTACATATGTGCGCATACACACAAATTGGCTACTTAATTCCTTAGGATAGCTCCTGTTGTTGCCCATTAAATGTGGTTCACAGTTATAGGTTGAAATTATTTGCATAGAGTTGTCAGGATCCAGCCCAGGCTGCTGTTAAGTGTCTCAGACTGTGGCCCCAGGTGATGTATTTTGAAAAGTTCTGCAGGTGACCTTAGTCACTCTGGATGAAGGATATCAGATATGACTGTTCTGGAGGTGGGTAGATAAGGATGAAGGAGAGATAAGACTTGCTGAGAGTCCATGCCTATAATCCCAGCTACTCAGGGGGTGGGGATCGGGAGAGTCCTGCTCAGGCAAAAACTTAGCAAGATCTTACCTGAGCAAGTAAATGGGGAGTGATGGCCTCCTCTGTTGTCCTAGCTAAGAGTAGGCTCTGAGTAGGAAGATCTGATGTCCAGGCTGGCCTTGAGCAAAAATTCAAGACTGTATCTAAAAAATAAAATAAAAAGAGCTGAATGCATAGCTCAAGTGACAGATCATTTGCCAAGCAAGCATAGGTCCTGAGTTCAAAACCCTGGACTGCAGCCCCCAAAGAAAGGACTTAATGAGAGACCTTCTAATGATTCCTTCCTTCCTTCCTTCTTTCCTTCCTTCTTTCCTTCCTTCTCTCCTTCCTTCCTTCCTTCTTCCTTCCTTTCCTTCTTTCTTTCTTTCTTTGACAAAACATCTTACAAGGTGAACAAGGATAGTGCTAATTTCTTGGAAAATTAGTTATGGGAAACAAAATTCTCAGATAACTAAGACCCTACTGTAATGTATTTCTAATCAAAAGACATTTCAAAGAAAAATGTAATCTGGGACTTAGTAATGATTTAGAAAATAAACTTAAGGGAAATCATTATTAGTGTGATTATTTCAATTCATTAGAGGATAGTGTCCTCCCTTACATAGTCATCCAGTTCCCAACCCAGAAGTAGGCTTTCCTTTGAAAGTATTCTGGTTTCGGTTTGGTTTGTTTTTTGATGTTGTTGTTGTTGTTTAAGACAATGTCTTCCTTTGTAGCCTAGGCTGGTAGTCTCAAACTTGTTATCCCCTTGCTTTTTCAAAACTCCATTTTGGGGATTACAGTCATGTAATATGGCTCTGAAATATCTTTGTAGATTATTCTGCTTAATCTATAAAGTATACTTTGCTATATAGAAAAAGTATTGTTTATAGTGGTTCAGTGTCCATATTTTCTAAATCACCTTACTATCTAGGGAAGGACTTAGGCACTTAAATATTTATAGGGTTTTTTGATGATTTATAGGGATGAGAGATGAGAACATTGGTGTTTTCCTGGACGCCCCGCTCTGTGGTCTCTGGACGTTGGGGTTGGGTTCCTAGGTCTGTCCACAAGTCCGGTGCTCATGAAGGCAAGCTCTAGTTGTGCCACAGAGACACACTGCTCTGCACATCAGCGGCGTTGCTTTTGGGAAGTGGAAAACCCATGAGGTAGTTTGAGAACAGGTACTGGCCTGTTCTCAAACACTTCCTCAAAAGTCAGACTTCGCTTTCTGCCCAGTAGCAAAACTTTCCTTCACATCAGGATATTTTCCTCACTTACTGAGATAGAATATACTTCATATTCTTCGTATGCTCCCTACACTCAAAATTTAAAAATAAATTCAGCTGGACACTGGTAAGTTACACCTATAATCCTAACTATTCAGGGAGTTGAGATCTGAAGTTCAAAGCCAGCCCAGTCAGACAAATCCACAACTTTTATCTCCAGTTAATCAAAAAACAACAACAAAAATCACACACACACACACACACGCACACACACACACACACACGCACACATGCAATTGGCGGAAAGCACAGTTGAAGTGGTTGAGCCTCAGCTGTGAACATACAAGCCAGTCAAGAGTGCAGGGGCCTCAGTTCAAGACCCAGAATCCACACAAAAGTAAGCCAGTTATTCTAATAAAACTTACCGGGAATCTGTTTCATCTCACAGGATTTGTTAGTTAAAGCAAGAGGTAGACAAGAAGTGAAAAATAAAAATTACCCTTGAGTTGTGGAGGGGGGTGCTCGCCATTCTAGGCTTGCTGTCTTGCTTTACACACAGTTCGTCATTTTTGCTGGCTACTTCTCTTCCCTCAGCAGATATTTCTGGGTCCCATTCCTGTCCCCTAAAACATTACCTCCCTTAGGCAACCTCCCCTTAACAAAACCTATAAGAAAAAAAGATTGTGTTTGTGCTGAGTCTTGGGTTAGGCAGAGGACTGAACTTAGATTTTTCTGTATTTCAGAGAAGTAAATTCATGCTATGTTCTTCTTTTAACTTCTATGATTATTATTTTTGTTAATGAGTGTTCTGGAAAAGAGATTGCAAGTTAAGGTCCTATGAGGACATGGTCCAAAAGCTGGACTGCCACTCAGGTAACAGAGAAGGAAAAACACCTCAAACAAAAGCTTTAGATCCTCCTTTGTGGATATAGAATTAAGAGTTTGGCTGGGCTCACTGATGGCTCACACCTGGAGTCCTTCAAAGACTCTTACCACCCATTAAGCAGCAAAAGCCAGAAGTGGAGCTGTGGCTCAAGAAGTAGAGCCACAGGGCTGGAAAGGTGGCTCAGTGGTAGAGCGCTCGCCTCGCATGCATGAGGCCCTGGGTTCGATTCCTCAGCACCACATAAGCAGAAAAAAAAAAAAAAAGAAGTAGAGCCACAAAACTTAGCAAGAGTATGAGGCCTTGATTTCAAGCCTTTGGTACCAGCACCAAAATAAGAAAGGATTGAAAGGCTCTGGTGTCTGGCATGGAACATTTCCTTAGTTAATACCTGTTATAGATGTTTTTGTCAGTGAGACTTATTCTGACCCCAAAAGTCCCTGTGATGAGTGAAAGCAGGGAGGAAAAACTTCCAGCTCAGTGAGTAAGTTACATTTTTAGATACTGTCATTGAAAGCAGTGATTCATAATCTTCCCCTACACTCTGCTGACACACATCTAAAGGACACAGTCTAGGCTTAATGGACAACTGCAACACAGTTCAGTCTTCTGAGCTTATTGCAGAGGCATAATTTAGATTATTTATAAACTACTTGTAGCGCTTCTTATATCTGTGGAGATACCAGTATCCTAGTAGAGTTCTTGTTCAGAGATGAAACTAGTTATTGCTAAGAGAGATAAGGAGGTGGAGCTATGGCTCAAGTGGTAGAGCGCCAGGAGTGGGAAAAGCCAAGAGAGAGTGGGGAGTTCTGAGTTCAAACGGCAGTACTGGTACTGCCCCCCCAAAAATACATGAGTGAATGTGAGGTGGATGACATGTGGCTCAAATAGGTGAGCACAGGAGTGTCCTGAAGGTAATGAGAACTTTAACCAGTCAGTAGCAGTGCTGATAGAGAGGAAGGAAGGAATTGAGATAGATGTTTGGTTCTACTGTGTGTGTGTGTGTGTGTGTGTGTGTGTCTGTCTGTCTGTCTGTCTGTCTGTCTGTCTGTCTCTGTCTGTGTCTGTGTGTGTATAGGCAGATTGAGAATTCTAAGCTACCTGCTGAGGTGCTAACTTGAGCACAAGTTGGGTGATGACTTCACTGTGTTAGATAACAGGATCTAGTGTTTGGAGCTGAGTGAGTTTAAGCAGAAGATGGAAAGGTCTAAATTGAAGATAATGATGTGGGAAACAGTTACACAGCAATAGCTAAATCCTCAGCATGAGAGTTTGTGTTCAAGTAACTTGAGTGTAGCAAGAGTACAGGTCCCATTTCATGTTGATTTCTTTTGGTGCTGGGATCCAGCACCTCATGCATTCTGCCACTGAACGACACCTCTTTTTTTTTGGTCAGTCATGGGGCTTGAAATCTGGGCTTGGGCTCTGTTCACTCAGCTCTTCAGCTCAAGGCGAATGCTCTACTGCTTGAGCCACTTCTGTTTTTTTCTAGTGGTTTATTGAAGAGTCTCACGGACTTTCCTTTCCTGGTCTGGCTTTGAACTGTGATCCTCAGATCTCAGCCTCCTCAGTTGCTAGGATTACAGGCAGGAGCCACTGGTGCCTGGCTTACACCTCTTCTTAACTAGGCATGTACCACCACACCCAGCTTAATTTTTTTCATTTTTCATTTCTGTTTTTTTTCTTTTTCTCTCCCACTTGAACCATAACCCCAGCTCCTTTTACTTTGTTTGCTTTTTGGATTGGATCTTTCTTTTTGCCTAACTGGCTTACCTAAACCATGATTTTGCTATTTATACTTTCACATACCTAGGATTGCAGGCACACACCAGCCTAGCTATTTACTTACTTACTTATTTATTTATTTTTGATGGTTCTGGGGCTTGAACTCTGGGCCTGAGCTCTGTCCCTGAGCTTCTCTGTTCAAAGCTAGTGCTCTACTGCTTGAGCCACAGTG